CCTTGGAAATCTTGGAATGAGCCAAGACCCTGGATAAACCAGAGGTTAACTATTTAAAGTTGCTTTAGATGTAATACTGAACTCTGACTAAGGTCCCCAAACCCCTCTTATCCTCAATTCTTGGAAAAATTCACTCTTACATAAGGTGTGCATTTATACTTAATGAGTACCCAAAAGCCTGAGCCCTTTGAACGAGGTCATCTTTTCAGAGAGGATCAGCTCATAGCCTCATTTAAAATGCTAGTCCATCTGTAACACCCTGGCAAGAGCTGCAGTTAATATTAATTAAGAGCAGAAACAGGTTCCTTCTTGAACATCTTTTCTTTAGTCAAGTCCAAGATGCTTGCTTCCAACTGGAACTTCTCCAATTCTCCTACCCTTGAGACACTAGATTCCAGTATTAAAAGGGGCCTGTTTTTCTAAGACCACTTGCCTGCCTGACTCTTAAAACAGGATTTTCATATCCTTCAGATAAAACTTAGCAAAAAAAAGCTATCACAAAACACCAGAGTTCTTGGGGGCTTTGTCATGGTGCCTTCTGGACACACTTGTTCTTAGCAGCCCTGTTAATCCAGACCTACAGACTTCGACCTTCCTTGTCCCAACATTACAGGTGTATACCACCAGGCACTCACCCATGCAATGCTAGGACTCTAACCCACTAGTACTTTGTCACTGCTGGGCAAGCACCCTACCAACTGAGCTACATTCCCACCCCAAATTGGAATTTCTGATGAGATACATTCTAAACTATTTATTTTTTATTTTATGAACACTGGAGCTTTACCTGCATGTGTGTCTATGTGAGGGTGTCAGATCTCCTAGAACTGAAGTTACAGTTGTGATTTGCCATGGGGGTGCTGGGAATTGAACCTAGATCCTCTGGAAGAGCAGGCAGTGCTCTGGACTCTGAGCCATTTCTCCAGCCCCATGGGATAGGTTCTAAAGCTTGCTTACCATCTTTGTGTGTATATCTATACACAAGTGCTTAAACAAACACACACACACACTCGTGAGTAGGGGTAGAGAAAGCATAATATTCCCTGTGAGAGAATACACAGCTCAGCTCCTTGAAAGTTAAGGCAAGTCTTCTATTTCTTCAGTGTGTGCTAAGAAAATACAAGCTACAGACCTGGGGGCGGGCCCTCAAATAAGGTATTTGATAAGCCTCAGCCTGTATAGCCCCAGGCAACCTAAGAAAGGAAGGCCAAGGCAAAAACAACTATCAAGAAGCTAATCTCAAGTCCTTTGTAAGCACTACTCTAACTGAAACAGGCTAGGTAACTTCTGATACAACACACAATTTCTGACTGACTTGTACCTTTAATACTGACAGCATGAACCCTGTGTGGTGCATTACAGTTTGGCAGACCCCAGTTTCAGAGGTAGAACGTGCTATAAGGAGAAGGTGCGCTGGGTGGTGGTGGCGCACACCTTTAATCCCAGCACTTGAGTTCAAGGCCAGCCTGGTCTACAGAGTGAGTTCCAGGACAGCCAGGGCTACATAGAGAAACCCTGTCTCGAAAAACCAAAAAAAAAAAAAAAAAGTGCAACAAGCGGCACAACATTCATTAAGTTGCTCCTCCTGGCCTATAATCCTAGCACCCAGGAAAAGTCAAAGGCCAACATAGTTCACACACAGACTTGTCTCAAAAAAAAAGTATAGGTACATTATACCCCTCTGCATCAGGCACATAAACACAGACGAAGCAGACAGCCATCAGTCTTCCTATGTTCAACAAACAGCTGATACAATCAGCATAGTTAAGTGCAGAGGAAGGAGATGGATCCTGCAGGGCCATGAGAAGACTTCCTTCTCCAGAACAGCGAGGTCAGACGGGCCCTTTCCTGCAGGACAGCTTTTTGCCAGACTGTGGCCACAGGAGGCAAGCCATGTAGTCAAGAGCCTGCCCAAATCCAGGCAGCAGCAGATGGCCTGAGCTACTTTCCAATTTAAATTGTCACCAAGATTCAACTTCCTAGGTTTTGCTGGGTTTCATCATCACCTTCGGATGTCAACTAAGAACTGTGTGTTCAGAAGGTTTCTTGGCTTCCCTAGGTTAAAAGCAATCGGCAGGTGACAGGAAAATTAAGTGAAGAATGTGTTCTTGCTTACAGACAGGGGCCCTAAGCCCCTTGCTTAGACCTCTAGTGGAACCACAACCCAAGTCAACTTGGAACAAGCCAATTTCAAAATGAACTATAGTCTTTCTATTTTTACCTTGGTCAAGTTTTTTAATTAGTTCATGGGGGGCAGGAAAGAAAAGGTGATTTCAAAAACAATGTAAAAGTTGCTTTTACTATGAGAGAAAAAAAGGCTAGAGAAATGAAGGCATTTAAAAGGATAGAAACATTTCAGGGGATGGTGGTGTGTGACTTTAATCCCAACACTTGAGAGGCAGAGACAGGAGAATCTGAATTTGAGGCCAGCCTGGTCTATAAAGTGAATTTCAGGACAGTCAAGGCTACAGAGAAACCTTGTCTTGAAAAATAAAAAAGGGAAAAAAAAAAAAAAAGAAAGAAAATTAAAATAATGATGGGAGCTGGAGGGGTGGCTCAGTGGTTAAGAGAAAGGACCTGGATCAGGTGCCCAGGACCCATGATCTGTAACTCCAGTTTCATGGGATCTGATGCCTTCTTTTTTGACCATTATGGGTACCAGGCATGAACATGGTTCATATACAGATGCAATATCCATACATGTAAAATAATAAATTAGTCTTTTTTTTTAAGGGAGAACAAAATACAGCTTCCCAAGCCCTAAGTGGAGAGAAATAAGCTATCTCTTAGCTTAGAGCCATGTGTGGAGGGAGGCACAGGCCTTTAAACTCAGCAATCAGGAAGCAGAAGCAGATGGATTTCCAAGTCTGAAGCCAGCCTGACCTACATAGCTAGTTCCAGCACCCAGGTCTACTTGTACAATGATAACAGAAGTCTTTGCCCTCATGTTCGACAGCCAAGCGCAAGAAAGCCTGGGAGGCAGCTTCCTTCTCCAACCTGAGAGAAGCATCATGGAGATACGCATCTCCTCAACAGGCTCACCTGACCATTAGGCTACCAGACCCCCCAACTGCCTCAGCATGATGGCCACAAACTATATGGAAGTAAATGGTGACTTCAAAATCAAGTGCAGGGCCTTTGAGTGAAGCCAGACAGCCAACCCAATAAAAGCAGCTACCTTGACTCTCCCATGAAGGAGGAGAAGGAGAAGAGGAGGAAGAAGAGGAAGAAGAAGAGGAAGAAGAGGAGGAAAAAGAGGAGGAAAAAGAGGAGGAAAAAGAGGAGGAAGAGGAGAAAGAGGAACAGAAAAAAAAAATACCAATAGTCTAGCCAGAGGTTCAGTGTAAAACTCTTCATTCCAGAGGGGAACTGCAGAGAATGTTATGAAATGCACTGGATATTAAGCTACCTTGACTCAGCTATCTTCCTCTATAGCCTTACTGGGAGAATCCCAACCCTGTGCACAATCCCTCCAACTGTATTGCCCTCCTCTCAAACTGTATTCCAAATACTAAAGAACATTAGAAAGGAGAGACCACCTGTACATAGCTTGGGAATACAGTGTTTCCGAAGCATTCACGTAGGCATGAAGGTCGAGCCCCAGCCGAGAAAAAGAATCTTACTGAGTGAGTGGAGTGTACGGATATAGTAACTTAACTTAATAAGGCCCTATCTCAAATCTAAGGGCAGGTGTGGTGGCTCAAAGTATAAAGGCACTTGACAGAAAGCCCGAGGGCCTGAGCTCCACATGCACAATGCTAGGACCATGCTCAAATAACAAATAAATACGATTTTAAATTTTAATTTAAAACCGATTTTGGATGTCACTCAGTGGTGCAGTACCAGCCCAGACTATTAGAAGGCCTGGTACACATAAACGCTTCTATCTCAGACACAGGTATGAGGGAAAGTACCCCTGATTATCCAAATAAAGGCTGGCTTTTACAAGCTGCTTCAGAGGAATAAGCAGCCTTTCAGATGCTTCAAGTGGTTGCTTTTAATCTGCTTTCCAACATTGTCCTCCACCCACCTGTTAATGATCCTAGGTGCTTCTGAAATGCAAATTTACTAACAATTAGCCCATAACAAGCCATAACCACCTTTCGAACAAATGAGAACAGAAATAGGGAAGGACTTCATGGGCAACACGTTTCATAAAGGGGTTGCTAATTACGCGCTCATCTGCATCCCAGAAAGGTCTGTGCCCCACAGAAGCAGGCTCTTACTTCGCCTTCTCTGGAACCGGGAGCCAAGGAGGAGAGGAGAAGGGAGGCATTTACAAGACTAGGAGATGGGGCAATCTAGACCCTCAACTTCACCGCATCCGCCGATGGACAACCTAAAAAGGCTACTTGCAGTAAAGCTGAACTCAAAATACAATCTTTGAGAACAAGTGTCCGGGTCTCCAGACGGCCAAGCTGGGCTTAGGAGAACAGGAGTTAGAGGGAACAGTTTGTCGCGGCCGGCTGCAGCGACCACAGGCCTTTCACCGCCACGCAGCACTTAGCTCCAGGCTGGAGCGCGCACGAGGGGAGCGCGCCGCAGAGTCCCAGCGCGCCGGCGGCTGCGACTCCCACAGGTGGGCGGCGCGGTGCTCGGCTCCTCGCCCGGGAAGGCGACCCGCGGCTGAGCAGGACCACAGTAGGGAACCTAGGGGCTCTGCTTAGGAGAGGCCAGTTAGGGTCTCCACCCAGCGGCTCGCGTTTCCCTCGGCCTGCCGTGCAGGGTCCTCCCCCACGCGCAAGCGGCCGGTGCAGTCGAAGGCGCTGCCGAGCAGCCTCGGCCTCCTCCGGGCGCGGTTAAGCCGCGCGGGCGGGCGGCCGGCCCGCTGGCTGCATGCTCGGCGGCACGTACGAGCCCGCACGGGCACACGCGGGCGGGGGCAGGGCGCCGGCGCCGAGGGGACCGGAGCCCGCGACCGCCCTGCGACCGCCCCGCTCCCAGCCCGACCACCCCGCCGGGCTCGACTCTACCCTCACTCCCCTGCCTCGACTCCTCACCCGTGCTGGTCTTGAGGTTCTCCCGCAACAAGTGGCCGCTGGAGAGATGCTGGAGGCCAAAGTTCTGGGCGATCCTTTCGCATACCGTGCCCTTGCCAGAGCCGGGCGGCCCAAGGATGACCGCGCGCAGGAGTTTGGAAGCCATGGCTTTGGCGGTCGGTGGCCAGGACGGCAGCCCACGCACTTTACCCGGCAGCCCCTGTCTCAGCACCCTCTGCACGCGGGGACTCGCCTGCCTGCTACCCCCTACAGGGGAAGGAGAGGCTTTTAAGACTGCCCCGCCTCTCGGCCCCGCCCTCCGCCACCTCCTCGGCCCGGGCCGCGCGGGTGAACCGTCGCAGCCCCCACCCCCACTCCCCGGCCTGCAAGCTCGGCCCTTTAGGGTCAGAGGTCAGTCAGACCCACCCAGGTCCTTCCCTGCTGCCCAGTCCGGGAGCGCGACTCCGGGAAGCCCGTGCGGGTCTCCGCACGTGGGCAGAGAGGGAGCAGCTCGCCCGGCGCTTCTCCGTGACTGTCGCATCCCCAGAGTGGCGGCTGCCCGCAACTGGAGGGTCCCACCTCCGCCCCGAGCAGCCGGGGGTTGGGGGGGGGGACACACCTCGGCGGAAAGGAGCGCGGCCAGACTTAGCCTGGATCCCGCTGGGCGGCGCCGCCTCTGCCCGGCTAGCCGCGCGGGACTCGCTGCTTCTTACGTAAGCCGGGAGCCGGCTCCGCGCTACCGCCGCCGCGCCCCCTCCTCTCCCCTCCCGGCGTGTCCGGGGCCAGGCTGAGGCTGCGGAGGCGAACGGAGATGGAGACGCCCTGGGGGAAAGGAACCGCCTGGGGACCCGGTCTATTGTCAAGGGGATGGAAAAACACAACTTGTTGAGCGCCTACCCCTTGTCCAATTCTAGGCTGCTTGACTTTTATTATGCAACCTTTACAGGTACCGATGGAGACAGGCTTGGAATATGTACCATTTGTTCATATACTTAGCAATGTAGAGTGGACTCTTTTTTGTTTTAATCCCTGTGAGGGAATCAAACCTCCTGAGACTGCCCTTTAAACCAGAGTGGCTTACGCCAGTATTCACAGCAGGCCCTGGCAAGAGTAGAAAGCTGTGGGCGGGCCTGAACTACTTACTTATTGAGACCCAGTCTCAAAAAAAAAAAACAAAAACAAAAAAAAATTCATTGGGTGCCCAACGCTGTTCTGTTTGCTTGATATACAACAACAACAAATGATCGAATCCTGCCCGCATAGTTGCAGCTGAGGTTTTGAAACCTTGACTGACTCCAAAGCCAGCGCCCTGGAGAGGAAGAAGAGAAGGATGACTTCTGCCGTACTCCGACCAGACAGAAGATTCCAGGCCTTCTGTGCCCAGAATGTGTTACTCCCAACTCTCTACTCACATATACTAACCACATGCCTCAGCCTTTGTTTTGATTTGTTTGAGACGGGGCTTCTCGTCACAGCCCAGGCTGGTCTTGAACTCACACGATGCTCTTGCCACAGCCTTCTTTTTTTTTTTTTTTGGCTTTTTCGAGACAGGGTTTCTCTGTGTAGCCCTGGCTGTCCTGTTGCCACAGCCTTCTTAATACTAGGATTATAGTAATGGGTCACCAACCCCTGCTGCCTACTCTCTCAATTCTGTTTCCAAGTTACGTGAAAGCCTTCAGTTTCCCATCCAAGTACTGGGATGATCACCTGTAAGTCTGTCTTCTGCACCCTTCTATTTTCTCTGCAGTTACAAGGAACACTGCTCAAGTAAAATCCCATTTCTGTTACTTGCACACCTTGGTGTGTCCCACCTTCTTCCTAGGTAACTAACTGCCTGCATTGCTGGAATCCTTTGCAGAGTTCTGACCATAACTGAGAGATGGTGAGAAACAGTGCAGTGGGGACTCTGTGAGAAAGAGCCTCCTAGATTCCTGGCTGTCGTGTGTGGTGGAGGCAGGAGACAGAGCCTGATATGGTATCTTGCCAACCCAGCTTCCCTGGTTACCATTCCACACACAGTCTTGGCAAGACAGCACACTCAGGCCACCAATCCCTGTGCCAACGTTTGTTCCGTAGACTCATTTCCTAAAATATCCCAGGGTGCTATAGACCTTATCGTGAGCTCCGATGAGCCTTTTGCTGAAGAAGAAAGGGGCAGGCTCCTAGTGTGAGGGGGCTTAAATCGCTTGTGTTCCTGTCATATGGTCCGTAACAGAACAGCTGATAGTTCCTTACAGGGACTGTGAGATAAGAGCATACAGCAGAACAACCTGGAGAGCCTGTTAAAACATCTTGATGAGGGCCAGAAGGTGGCTCACTTGCAAAGTGTGCGCCACCAAAGCATGAGGACTGTGTCTTAACCATTGGACACAGTGCTGGGGGGAGAGGACAGCAGGATCCCCAAGGTTTATTGGCCAACCAGTCCAGGCTAATTGGTGAGTTCCAGATTCAATGAGAAATCCTATCCCAAAATCCAAAGGAAGCCACCTTCCCTGGGTCCTCCATTGAGCAGGAAGGCTCTGATAGTTCACTCCGATAGTTCAGGGATGATGGTGCTGTTGGTGAGGAACTTGGCTGTTTGTCTCTAGGAACCTCAAAAAGACAGTTGGCAAACAGAAATGCTTTCTGGAGAAAACAGCCTGAAGCTGTTCGCCTTGACATGATTTTGAAGAAAAAAAACAAACAAAAAAAAAACAAAAACAAAAAAATGAAAAAACCAAATCTAACTCTATCTCTTTAAAGAGCCCAGTAGAGTTAGGCATAGTGGCTCACAACTTTGATCCTAGCAAAGGGAGGAAGCACCAAGTGACCAAGTGGATCTCTGAGTTCAAGGCCAGCCTGTTCTGCAGAATGCCTTCTAGGCCATCCAGGGCTACATAAGTGAGTCATCCCCCCACCTTCTCTAGCGTGTGTGTGTGTGTGTGTGTGTGTGTGTGTGTGTGTGTGTACAGACAAAGGCCAGTATAGGAGTGGAGAGATGGCTCAGTAGCAGCCAAGAGTACTGGCTGCTCTATCAGAGGACCCAGCCAGGTTCCATTCCTACACCCACATGGCAGCTCGCAACCATCTGTAACCCACGTTCCAAGGGGGCTGGCCGCCGCAGGTACCAAGAATGCATGTGCTACACAGACATAAATGAAGGCAAAACACTCATCCACAAAAATAAAAACTTTGAATAAAATTGTAAAACCCAGTAGGAAATTTCCTATTTATTGTTTTTTTTTTGAAACAGGGTCTCTATGTAGCCCTGGCTGGCCTGGACTCAGTCAGTGTGTAGACCAGGCTGTCATCCAACTCACAGAAATCAACCTGCCTCTGCTTTCAAGTGCTAGGATAAATCTTGTATTTGTGCTTATACTGTTAAAATTGGAAACGTGGGTGAGTGTAGTGGTACATGTCTTTAGTCCTGCTGGCACTAGAGAGGCAATGGTAGGCAGATCTCAGTGAGTTCAAGGCCAGCTGGGGCTACATAATGAGATTCTTGTCTTCAAATCAAATGGGGAAGGTGGCAGGTAAAATTCATTAAAGATTTTTTGTGTGTATATGTGTGTGAGTGTATGTATGTGTGCCATGTATGTGCAGGTGCCCTCAGATGCCAGAAGAGGGTATTGGATTCCCAAGAATTAGAATTAATAGTAGTTGTGACCCATCCATGATGTGGGTCCTGGGAACTAAACCCAGGTCCTCTACAAGAGCAGCAAGTAAGCCGGGCAGTGGTGGCGCACGCCTTTAATTCCAGCACTTGGGAGGCAGAGGCAGGTGGATTTCTGAGTTCGAGGCCAGCCTGGTCTGCAGAGTGAGTTCCAGGACAGCCAGAACTACACAGAGAAACCCTGTCTAGAAAAAAAAAAAAAAAAAAAAAAAAAAGAGCAGCAAGTGTTTTTCAACTGTGGGGCATCTCTCTAGTCCCAGGAAAAGCAAGTAAATTGTTAATGGATGATAAATACGTTGCTTTAACTGTTAAAAATAATATGGTTGAGTGCATCTCTTGAGGATAACCAACTTCAACTTCTGGCTTTCACAGGCATGTACACACACACACAACAACTCCAGTAAATTAGACCATGCCAGACCAAGTTCTTCCAGCAGCACCAGGAGGAGCCCTGGGACTCTTGTGATTTGTTTTTCCTGAAGACCATGTATCTGAAAATTGTCAAACCACTGAAATGCCGCCCTTTCTACTTTATCTTATTTTGTGTGCCTGTGTCTTCTTAAGGGATGCACATGTATGCCATGCCAGCCCTCTCATTCTACCATGAGGGGCCCCAGGAACAGAACATACTGTTAGCTTTGCTAGTAAGTGCCATCATAACTAAACCAGAGTTCTCGTTCTCTCTTTCTCTCTCCCTACCTCCCCTCCCCCGCCCCAAGACACGGTCTCACTATGTATCTCTGGCTGTCATAGACCTCACTATGTAGACCAAGCTGGTCTCAAACTCCTCCTGCCCTAGCCTCACAAGTCCTGATATCAAAGGTATGCACCATCAAACCCAGCTACCATCTCTTCTTCTTTGTGCTAAATATTCTGAATTACTGCCCTTATATGATCCTTATATGATAGAATATTCTGCTGGAAAGGGGCACAGCCATCTCTTTTGCTATAACTACCAGAAGGTACTCCGTATAACATGGAAATCACCCTTAATGGTATAGTAACAGTGGCCACCTTGCATCCTGTACTAGTATGCTTTTCCCCAGACCTCACTGTGAACTCTTCCCCCCGTCCCCAAAAACTTTCCAGATGATCCACGGGAAGACCCGTGACATGTCTGTTTTGGTTTGGTTTTTCTTGATATTTTTGAAGCAATCTTACTAAATAGCCCAATATTACCTAGAACTGGATCCCCATGCCCTCTTCTGAAGGCTAGGAATACAGGCATGGGCCACCACACCTAATTTATAGCTCATTTCTTTGTAGGGGGACAGTAGGAAGAAAATGAGACAATGATTCATTAACACCGTGTCATCTGAGGTCACTTCCTTTGTGTAAGGATTAAACCTGAGGGTTCTTGATTATCATACTGATAGGAATTGTTCAGATTTGCCGTTATTCTAACCCTGATTACTCAGAGGGTCAGATAAATAGTTTCACTTGAGTCTGCAGACATACAATTTAGCACAGGAGACTCTAATTTGACCCCTTGCTTAGCCTGTAGGGCGTGAGGCAAGGGCATCAGTTCTAGATATGACCTACACTATTTTTGAACTTGTTTAAGGTATATTTAAAGATTTATTTAATTTTACGTGT